ACCAACGGCGACGCCGCCGTCCAGCCGTCCGCCCGTGCAGTGCTAGGACCCCGCCGCCACACCGGACCGCCGCCGCCTAGGGACACCCCCAGCCCGCTCCGTCCCGCGCCAAAGGAAGCTGAGAGGGGAAAAGCGCGGGGGCCGCCGCCGCCAGCGTCGCCCGGGCCAGGCCCGGCGGCGAGCGCCGACGACGGCGGCAGGGAGGGAAGGAGGAGGGTGGGTCGCTGGAGAAGGAGATCGGGGCGCGGCCGGTCGCCCGCGGGGGCGACGCAGTCGCGAGAGCCTGAGAGGAGGGGCGCTTAGCTATCACAGCTCCACCCTTTCTTTAGTTATCTTTTATATTCTAGAGTTCCTAACTATTCTCTCGCATAAAGATAATTAGAAGTTGGTGTGGTTTAACTAACTAGTTTGTGTAAGGTTCTAAGCATTGGTCCATGGAATATCCGTATAAGTAAATGATCGCCTTTTGTTTCTAAGTTCTGTTTATAACTCTGAAAAGGATAGTCACACACTAACAGTAAGTACATAACTAATTTGTGCAGCCTGGCATGGTTACGACTGATCTTCTTATGTCTGGTGCTACCGCAAAGCAAGTAAGGGATAAGCACAATCTCTTTCTGACATTCTTTTTCTTTTTGCCATTGTTGATAAGATAATTCATGGTTACTAAATTGTAAATTTTACTGATGGCAGGCAAAGTTTTTCATCAATATATTAGCTGAAACTCCTGATGTGGTGAGAGCTACGCCATTGTTCCTTTTTTTTACAGGGCCATTGGTCCTTTTCCTCCAGAACAATGTTGACTCTTCTTCTAAACTCTAAAGCTTATGTTTGGCAGCAGTAGTAATAATTTTTAGCTGCTTTAGGCCTGTGTCCATTTGGCGTGTAGAACCGTCCGACCACTTAGCTTGAACGTGGTCTCCAGACTTGTTTATACGTTCCTAAAATTTGTGATTTGGTCATTGTCGAAGGGCTGTTAACCTTTTGTGCTTGCTTTAACAAAGTTAAAAAAAATGGCAACTTGAAGTTCTTCATATGATGTCGCAAGGCAGACATGTGTTATCAAATGTGTCGATCTGAAGTCCTGAACAAAAAATAAATAGTTGATCTAATATAAACTGACAAAGTTGGCTTTCGAAGCTTATAACTTTGCTTAAAAATCTTACAGACAGGCACGTTTTCTTTGTACAGTACACTTTTTAATCATATTATCTGTTTGGTAATATGGTAATATAATAATCAATGTTGACTATTAAAACAGGTTGCGGATTACCTTGTTCCAAACATCAGAGAAATCCCTACCAAGCAATCCATGAAGCCGACTTACATTCGCTTTCTCACAGGCTTGAAAGCCTACTCCAGAATATTTTCAGTAAGAACTCTCTGAAACCTGGGGAGGGTCTTTTATTAATCTTGGACATCCCCAACCAATGTCAAATTTACTGTAATGATCATTCTTCCTGATTTTATTTGCAGAGAATTGCTTTTGGTGCTCGTAGGAACAAGTATGTTGCCGAGGATTAGTTTTCTTACTGCCATCTTCCAACCCAGAAGAAACCTAGGGATATTCTTGTTATCATATTTTAGAAGCCCATTCTTTTCCTGTAAAAATAGGATGTATCACTGAGGGCATCTTGAGAACACAGCAATGTACCCCTCATATATACAATACATGTAATTTGATTACACCTCATCAAATTACAGTTCATCTGGATTATTTATGGACCTTATGATCTAGTTGCATGTTGCATTTTCAATGCAAGAGGAGCCCATGATACATCTATGCACCTACACATTAAGGCTGAAAACCATTTTTCCTTGTTACTTCCTATAACTTGTGTAGTCTTGCCTAACTTATCTGTTGGGACAAGTTCGTCGTGCAATTAAGCTCCTATGATAGATTTATTGTGTTTGTACAACTTTTTTTTTCCTCTTCATTGAAAGGCATGCAGATGGCATTGCAATGACAAGACATGGTCATGCACTCATGCTGCTACCTTGCTGCTTGGTGTTTCGCAGCATAGGGTAGGACTTTGATCACATCTCACACATCCAGATTGCCTGATAAGTCAACCTCAACACTTACTACTGCACCTAAATTATCATTCTGGTTATTTACTTCTCTGTCACATTCCTGATAAGTTAATGTGATGTGCACCATTCGTGGATTTGGCAGAGTCTGCTCGTGCTATCGCAACATCAACTCTTGTTGCTTTGTTGCCATTCAGAAGGCTTTATTTCTCTGCAAACCATTCCACCCATACAAACCAACTGTGAGTTGTGACGTGTTATGTTAGTGTGATAGAATATGGCTGGCTACACAAAGATAGTGCAGTATCTCTAGTCTCTTACAAGAACTGTATAAAGGGACTGGCTTGATAGAGAAGGAGACTATCACTCTCTCTTCTCGCTAAAAGATATGACATACATTCCCAGTTCCTTTTGCTTCCCCGCACATATCGGTATGCGCATGTTAATGATTTTAGTTTCTTTTTTGGTATTTTTGTGCATTCTTTTTTCTAATGTAGGATGGCCAGAGCATTGATTTGCCTGCTTGATCTCCAATTTGTATTTGAAAATATTTTTCTGTATCTATATGGGCATATGTGCACGTTTAAAAAATAAACAAATTTTGATGGATTCTGTCTCTTGTAGTACACACGAGCTGCTGTATTGTCGTTTTGCTGGTTTGCATTGCCTTGGTTTTAAAAGGTGTCTCAAGCTTTCTGATTTCCTTGATCTTTGACAGGTGTGAGCTTGATTTGCTGACTGATGTCCAACGGCAAGCCGACATATAACAGTGACTCTTCTTACATGTCGAGCATACCGGTCTGTTGCTTTCTCAGGGCAATGCAGCCGACAAGTAGTTTACTTCGCTGGACCGGTGATCTCCATAAGATCTTCCTGGAAGCTGTAGAGTATCAAGGAGGCCCCTATGGTTTGGTTTCTTGAACTTTGAGCATACGATGTCAAACAATTCATTCTCTGTTACTTGGATCTGAAACTTCTCGATGGAACTGATGCTGTGCTACTCAACCGTCGCAACTCCTTAGAGGTGAAGCCAACTGCGGTGAAGGAGAAAATGGAAGCTATGGGAGTCACAGGCCTCACAATCTGGAACATAAAAAGCCACCTCCAGGTACCTCCTGCCCTCTTGCAGCTCTTCATAGATACTTTGAGGGTTTTCGTTCTGCGGTGCGGGGTCTCAACGCACTTGGCTTGCTCTTGTGTGCCAGAGATACAGGGAGAAGTGCAATTTAGGACCTGAACCTCCTCGGGATGTCCGAGGCACTGCATCACCAAGGAAGGCTGGAGATGGTGTGTATGGTTCTCTGATGCAATGGAATTGTTGGATCTGCATGCCTTTGTGTTCTCTATTTATTTATTTGTATTTTAGAACTGACTGACTGATTGATTATTGAGCTTGTTCATAAGTTCTGTAACTTGTTCTGGTGTGTAGGACATCTTTTTTTCTCGAAAAGGGGGTGTACCCCAGCCTCTGCATCAGAAAGATGCATACGGCTCATCTGAGACCGAGACAGTGGTGGACAATGATGCAGCAACGAATCTGACTGAAATGGAGGTACTCCTCATCATCGTTGATAGCCTGGCCTGGACAGTGGACAAGCATATACTATCATCCAAAGGCAAGACCTGGTCAGTCTTAGTACATTTCAGGGCCATATAACAGTAGAGGGAACACACTTGCCATACCATGCCAGGAAGGTTAGGATCATAGTATGGCTGCCGCCTGCAGGTATCTGCATCTGTGGCAACCCAACCCCAGACCCGGCCATCTTTTAGCACGAGGGCACACCGTCGCGCTCTAGGAGTAGGATGTCACGCTCTAGTAGTAGGATGGCGTGCCACGCCAGGGAGCAAGCTCTAACGACGTTGCCGCCAAGGCCACCACGACGCCGCACTTCGTGTTCGTCCCGCTGATGCACCACGGCCACCTGATCCCGGCGGTGGACGCGGCGCTGCAGCTGGCCACCCACTCTAAAAAGCCCCCAGCCCAACAAAATCCCAGCACCAAGGGGGAAATATGTCAACAGAAGGGGGAAATGTGAATCCAACGACTGAAGAATAGCGCATTTAACAAGGCCAAGCAGTGAACAAATTAAGGCAGCGACGCATAACAGTAGTAGCAGCTAGCTAGTTTATGGAAACCAAACGTGCTTCAGTACACAGAATGTCACAGCGCAGTGTCCACTTGCTGATGGCAGAATGCTCGCTAATTAATTAGGACATCATAACACACACAGCAGGAAGCATCATATATGGTCTCACTTCACAGCTGATAGCATCACACACTCGTATCTAGCAGTGGCCACGGAGGAGAAAAGACTCACTCATCCAGAGGCACAGACTCATCCTCTGAATCTGAATCTGGACTGCTCTCATCCGGCGCCCATGAAGAATCTGAACTGGGCTCATTCGGCTCATCCTGTGAATCCGGCATGTTCAAATTCCGCGCGAGCTCCACGTCCAACTCGGAACTGAAGTGCACGAGGTCCATCTCTAGCATGAAATCCACGCTGCGGGTTCCCTTATGGGTGATATCATCGTCAATGTACTTGGCGTCATCTGGATACACAATCTTCCTTGCGCAAATCATGTCGTAGTAGCAACGTCCTATTAACAAAGTAAAACCCGGATCAGTAAGATGATAATAAGCCAATTCAGATTTATGATGAGTAGTGCATTCAAGCATCGTGAGAAGCAGATCGCCGTGACTCAAAGTACTAATCAAATGCTATCACTTGCTAATCAGCCGTGCCACGGCAGAGAAGTAGATGACTTACCCGCATATGCATAGGGCAGAGGGCAGCAGAATGCTGCTGTCCTTGGCTTGCGTGTTACGCACCACAACTCGGCGTAAAATAGGGTCCTCGGAACATTCTCATCAGAAGTTGCCATGAAGTTCACTAGGTAGCACGTATCAGTGAAGGGGCATAGCCTTCCTGTCTTTGATCCGCACCAATTATAAAATCAAGTTCATACTTTGGTCCCTACAGCAAGCAAGAAATTAAGAAGCAAGAGTGTTTGTTGGTCAAATCAAGTTAAAGCTAATATATACGTACGTAAGTAGCAGCTAATGATTGAAAACAGAGGAAGTCCAATGCCTACCCAAAAATGATGGTCCGTGTAATCCTTGAGCACCTGTTCAATCTTCGAACGCAGCCAGCTCCTCCAATACTCATACTGTGATCTCATGTCTGATACCCGCCTCAAGGCCTCTACACTAAGTTCAGGAGCAGGAGCTTGCACGGGGGGTTGATACCAGGGTGCTGCTTTGTAAACACGCCACAGCGCAACAACATCTTCTCTGATTTTATCATAGAACAACACAACACCGCTGGTTTGCGCCTTGGTTATATGTGAGACCAGGAGTTTTCGGGCTTCAGGATTGAGCAGCAGCATCCGGTGAAATTCACCTAGCTGAAGGGGCAGCGGCTGTCTAGCAGCCATGGCCGCCTCGTGGAAGGGGATTTCATCAATCTTTGGTGCAGACGATAACATGTCAACAAGGTCGCATCTTGCACTGCAGAGTTTCTCCAGAGCACGAGCAATTGAGGATTGGGGGTCGACGGACAAGGCAAGGTTTGCAAGCCCCTCGAGGGAACGGACAACTAGGCGGAGCAGAGATAGGGGGTCCAGGATGTCATTGTACTCTTTCAACATCATGCGGTCAGAAGCCGGGAGAACGGAGCCACACGTCTCATGCCAGACTGAGTTAATGATGATGTTGGAGAGAGGGTCACAGGGGCCATAGCAATGGCCGGCCATGAGGATGCTGCGCATGGTGGAGCCCGAGGGTGCGCGCAACATCTTGAAGGCCTGGACGTACAGGTTGTGAATCATGCCATAGAGGTACATCTTGAGAGACCGCAGGTAATCGCAGTTGTCGCCACCGCACGAGGCGATGAGAATGTGTTTCTGGAAATCTGCTATCGTCAGGCAATCTTGCAGCTTGCTAGGCAGTCCGGACTGCAGAGACGAGATGGCGGTCCCATCGCAGCGGAAGGTGGTGGAGGTGATCCTGGTGTGAGCTGCTGCACTAGAAGAGACAAGGGGCTTTGTCTCGGACCAGATAGCGCCGTCGTCGAGGTTGTGACGGGCATGGACAACCAGCCCATCTTTGCTGTTGCTAATGTTGGCAACACACATCGGGGTCATCATCATGTGCAACCCACGGTGGATTTCATGGGCATCCTCAGCCGTGAGAGGGTCATTGGCCGAAAACAGATGCTGGTTGAAGAGGTCGAGGTCGCCCTGTTTGAGCCGGATTGCCATGACCTGAGCAAAGATGGCGGGCGAACAGTGGCCTGCGCTGGTGGCCGCCAACTTGAGGGCGGCCTTGGTCCTGTCGGATTCAGGGTCCAGTGCCTCCTCCTTGGTATGGTAGAGGTCGTGCTGGACGAGCATGACGGCGAGGAGGAGATTGGCGCCGGCCCTGTAGAGGTAGCGGAAGGCCTGTGCCTCGTTGATGCATCCGAAGTATGCCACAAGGAAAGCCATGAGACTCTGGGCGGACCTGCATGCAACCTCGTGCCAGGGGTCGAAACCGGGTCCGTGTCTCTTTCTCTTGGACCTCATGCTCTCATCGTCGGACTCCGCCTCATCGGACTCTGTCTTGGCCTCGACTTCGACGAGGGTGGTGGGGAGGAGGGCGAGGGTGTTGAGGATGATGTTGGAGACGGGGTCGAGGGGGCCGATGCAGAGGCTGTCGGTGCTGAGGAGGCCGTAAAGGTCGGGCATGGCCTTGCAGGGCAGCCGGAGCCGGCGGAACGCCTCGTCGTAGTGACCGACGATGAGCTTGCGCGTGGCTTGGCACAAATCGTCGTCGTGGGGAAGAGGCGCATACTCGTGGCGGCAGTTGAGGCTGTGCAAGCACGAGATGAGCCCCCTCCGAGAGCTAGAGTCGCCGGAAGAAGTGGATCCAGACAAGGACCCAAGTGGAACGGAGCCGCCGGAAGAAGCGGATCCAGACGCCATCTGCGAGCAGAGACGGCGGACGGAGCTGGCGTTTTTCTCTGGGCGTCGTCGACCGTCTTGCGGGGAGAAGAGCAGATCGATCGAGTCGGTCGATAGGGTGGGGAGATATATATATATATATGGAGTGGGATGAGTTCGTCTTTTGGTCGCGACTTGCCTCCTTGACTCGGCCTCCTTTTCCCCGTGGCCCTGCCTTTCTTTTCTTGGCAGTAAACGAGTCGGTGTCTGGAGACCGTTTTGGCTCCTCCTTCCTTCCTCGACCGACCGACCAACCGCCCTTCTCCTACCTAGGCCCACATGGCCACGTCTCCAATCAAACGTTCCAAGAGACATCAATCCAACGATGGAGCACTAGTCTGATCTAGTATTTGTGAACGCATATATGGACGTGTGTGGCAACGATCACGTATGATAATTAAAGTGCATGCCCTTTTTGGCTTAGCTAAGGCATATGCATGCACACATGAGCCACGAGCTGAATTGTTAATCGTTTCAGTACTCCGGAATCCCTAATCTCGCTCCTTTGCCTATGACGATAGCTGGACACACGAGCCCTGCAGTGTTGCTGCTTTCTCTAAATTTAAGAATATGGACGTCGATAAGTGCCACACGTGTGGGAGTTAGGAGATCTGTCCACACATTTTGTGTGGTGTATAAGAGGAACAACCCACACATCTACGTGTGGGCAAAACAAGTAATGCCCACATACTTCTTTTTTCCCTCTCGATCCCTCTCACACGCGTGTGTGAGCGAAATAGATAACGCCCACACGCCCCGTATGTCAGGCCTCGTACCTCATGCGTCCGCATGTCCCGCGTGACAGTCACCACGCATCCCGCAGTTGTCATGGTCCAGACCCTCGTCCATGTTCATTTAACTGTAGTTGCCATGTCGCTGAACTTCGGTTGCCATGTCGGACAACTACAGTTGCCATGTATGGTCTGGTCTACTGCAGTTGCCATGATTTCAAAACTTTAGGAGTTGCCACCACTAACACTAGGCAGTTGCCATATAGCACTACAAAAAGGCATGGCAAAAATACATGTTCGGGTAAAAGAGATAGTTGCCATGTGCTCACAAGCACGCTAGGGCCGTTGCCATGTAAAAAGAAAGTGTTGCCATCTGCTTACGTGCACGCTAGGGCAGTTGCCATGTACCATGCAAAAACACATGGCAACTCGGGTAAAAGAGAGTTGCCATCTGCTTACAAGCAAAGCTAGGGCAGTTGCCATGTACCCTGCAGAAACACATGGCAACTGCCGCTTTGGGTGTGCGCGAGGAGACGGGCGTGTGGGCGAAGTGATAAACACCCACACACTAGCCCCCTCTGCGTGCGTGAAAACTGGTGTGTGGGCGAATTGCTAAATGCCCACACACCAGCCCCCCGTGTGGTGAAAAAGGACGTGTG